ATGCAATAATGCGGTGTTATAATTTCTCATTTTTTCAGCTCTGGCAGGAGTTTCTACATGTCACTTGGTGGTATGCCTGTCTGTCTGTACGTCCTTAAAATTTGACAAAAGTATGGTGTTCCATAATTATGTGCCATCGGCGTTGCATTTTTCGGCGTCGTATTTTTAAGCTCTGGCAGGGATCATCCTGATCGATTGTATGTAAGACTATCATGCAAGACTTCTTGCAACACGGCCAGCCTGAGCTTACTGTGCACTCGCACTTGCACTGTACAACATTTTTCTCGAACAAGCGGGACGCCGTTTTGTGTAGCGGTTGGACGGTATCCAGAAGGGGAAAATGTCCCCAAAAAGTGGGCAATGTGCGATCTTTGAGCTCTGGCAGGAGCTTCTAAATGTCACTTGGTCATCGGTCGGTCGGATGGTCTGTCTGTCTGTCTCAAAAATTTACCAAAAGTACGGTGTTCCATATGCACCATCGGCGTCGCATTTTTCGCCAGAGCTTATTCTGCACTCGCACTTATTTTCAGCTTCCCTCAAACCCTGACGTTTCCTCCCAATCCTACGTTACCTTTAGGCCAATTTGGGTACCTACGCCTAAACTGATTATTCAAAGGAAATTCATGGAAATATACTTGATTGCATGCATTATAAGTATTATCGCTTGTTCGTCGTTTATGACCCGTGGGCTTAATTTGGTAGTAATATTAGGTTTCCCTAATGACCGTTATATTCATGACCACAATGCTGCTGCACTACGTTGTGTATTCAGGCGGTTAGGTATTCCCATAGAGCAAGGACCCAAGGAGTTCGTACTCCAAGACTTCAAAAGTAAAATGATGGTCGCCGCGCTCGAAAGCTACAATAGAAAGCACCTGGCGCCAGCTTGCTCAGTTGCTCACTACGCTAATCTCGACACAATATAGACCCCGTTCCCACTTGATCCACCAATTGGTGGATCTGATCCACCTTTTGCCAAATTGCCGGATCAGATCCCCCAATTGGTGGATCAGATCCGGCAATTGTGTGTAGTGGGAACGCTAACCGTTATAAGGTGGATCAGGATCAGATCCACCTTTTCTGATCCACCTCTGGACCAGGATACAGATCCCCCAATTGGTGGATCAGATCCGGCAATTGCCGGATCACGATCAGATGGGAACGCAAAAGGTGGATCTGATCCGGCAATTTGACCTGTTAACATCCGCCCGGTGCACGAGTGGCGCGAAAATGTTGCGGTCTCATGAACGAAGAAACACGTTTTCAGGCGTGTAGCTCATGTGAACATTTCCAGCGTATACAACATGCACAATAAACAACCGCTGAACTACGGGCTAGCACCGCGCATGCAAAAGCGCACGTGGTATCCTAAAACTACACTATAGGCCTTATTTTTGTTGCGTGTTCGTCCATTACTAAACCTTTTTCATTCCTGAAATTTTACTTATTTTTCCATCCATAAATGACTCTGAGTCCGCACTCACCAAAAGACTTCACTTTGGCACAGAATCATGGAAAAGCTTACGAGTATGCGATGAGAATAGTGCCGATAACGCGGTACGTACGGAGGTGACAAATCTGAAGTATTGATTATAGAAAATTGGAAAATGATGTCGTAGTACATCATGTGACCGTTTCTAACCAATGAGAAGCTTCAGAACCAGGGAATCCCTTATCGATGCATTGGTTTCTGCCGTGATGTCACACAATGAGCGGCTCTGTTGGATTTCACCTGTTAATTTATGCACGCACGGATCCTCTACGGATCCGTGATTTATGTTGGTGAATTCGCGTAATTTTTGTCTGTGAATTCTGATAGTGCTGTTTGAAAACTGACCCATCCTGGCCTAGCATGCAACCATGCAACAATGGCACTCCCACAGAGCGCGCGTAATTCCGAACTCAGTGACCTTTCGGACCCAACATTTCCGTACGAAAAGGTGGATCAAGCATAAGTGGGAATGCGACTTGCGGTTTCGTTGCGGTAAGATAACGATCACACCAAAATGCCGGATCTTGATCCACCTTTTTCCAATTCAAGTGGGAACGCGGTGTATGATCCGCGCTCACTAATGCCAAAAAAGGAGTTTGCATGGCTTCGTAGACAGTACCATGGTAAATACGTATGCGCAGTTGTCATACATCGCTAAAAATGAATGATTTTGAAGTGTTTGTTCGGAGTTGGCTAATACTGGCTAACAATGTGGTCAACATCACTGAAACAATCATTTCATGAAGAACAAAATGCTCTGTACCTTTAGTGTGAAAACTTGTGAAATTTTCCAAAAAAACACATTTCATCAATGATATATTGCCAATTAAAATGTCTGAAAATACATGAAAACTTATCTGAAAGAAATCCAATTTATCTCCAAATTACAGGGACAGATAACGCTTTTAAGCACCAACAACTGCACATTGCTAACTTGAGTTCATAACTCACATCTAACAACTGCGCAGTTGTAAAAACCTATCTTGTTGTAAAATATATTTTTCAAAAAAGAGCAGCGACGTGACATGACTTATTATGCAGCATATAGGGAGGTTGTTGGTTACCAACTAAAAAGGCGGCGATGATCATCGTGTTCAAAGGCCGCTGGCATTCACGCTTTGAATGGTCGAGGCTTGCGGTCACAGTGCTGTAGCTATAGACATTCCCGAGGGATTGGTATGTTAATGGTCAAAATGTAAATCGCCCAAGAGTTCTGACTCCTTGGGTCCTTGCTCTATGGTATTCCCATACACACCGAACACAAGTGAAACAGTTTCAAACAGCACAGCATCTCCAAGAATGGTTCATTGTTACATTTCTTTGCACTGACATCCTTTTCAGCAAAACAAGAAGACTTCACTTCCATAGAGTCAACGTCTGAAATATTTGTTCAGAATATCTATGCAGCAGCTGACAAATCTCAATGCTTGTAAAGTATAGACTTCATTCACGAATCAGCCATATTAAATTGAAAGCAAGGCGCTAGGTATCAAGTCGTCATTTTTTGGAACTTCCATGTAGAAATGAAACAATGAAACAAACGTTCATTGATTCAAATTAAGACCAGTCTGCTGTGAAGCATCATTAAAAAATGCAGTTAAACATATCCTTACGTTTTTTGTCTCATTTAAAAAAACTGAAAGGGGTTTATATTACGCACGCTTATCATAAAAAAGTCTGGCACCATCCCATTCAATAGTTTACAAATTCTAAATAGATTCAGGGAACACGATCGAAAATAGCTTCTTCATGAATAAGGTATATTACTCCAGTGCCATTACTTTGTGCATGTTATCCACTTCCCGTGCGTAGCATATCGGCTTATATTTTAGTGTTAACAAACACAACGACATTGTCCCGAAAGCTCGCTACTATATATAGAATTATGCTGGAGGGCCCTATATATGCCATAGTATAATGTTTAAAACTACCACATCGATCGCCATGCTGTAGTGTCATGGATACCACATTGGATTACAAATCCGATGGTGTGAGTTCGATTCCCGTTGGATTTTTTTTTAATTTCTTCTTCTTTACTACTTTTTTTTTCTCTTAAACAATTTTGTTAGTCATTTGGAACATTTTTCTTCTACCAATATGTGGTTTGGAGGATATTTTTTCAACGGAAAATAAAGTCCGAGAACCTGACTTGCAACTCAACGTACTTCGAAATACGCCCATGTGTACTGAAAAAAAAAGGCGTACGGAAAAAAATATCGCGTCCCAAATACCCTCTTAAAAAACCATAGCCGGCCTTTAAAGAAATTTAAGGAGCCAAATAATCTGGTTAAATTTACTAGCCGAGCCCCGTAAAATAACCCATCACCATTATTAGCGATCAACCATAGTCCCATAGCCATGCTCATCTCTATATCAATACGTGTGTATATGATGAGTGTCTTTTCTGTTACTTAGCGGCATGCGCATGTAACTCCTCGAAAAATCGTGCGTTAATCGTTTGTATGCATCATGCTTACTTTAGCTTATTCCAACGTCTGCAAAAGCCGGTTTAAGGCACGGCAGAATACAATGAACTACTACAAAATGAACACATCATTCACTGCCATATCACAACCCATGCAAGTAATGTTCTAGGTTTTCTCTGACTCCTCGCCCTTTACCAGTTGTGTAGCTAAGGTGTGTGTGTGTGTGGGGGGGGGGGGAGGCACGTGTGCCCCCACCCACAAATTCCCAGTGCCCCTAGGTTCACCCACAAAAAAACTGAAATTTGTCCTTTTCCTAAGAAGTCTTTTAAAAGTATTTGTTTTTAGATAGAAAAAAGAGAGCCCTTCAGCAACAAAAGAGGTCCAGCCCCCCCCCCCCCCCCCCCGACTTTTCTGGTTAAATTGTTTAGGTCCAAATGCGTGACTTTGTTGATTGCGGTAGACGTGTACGTACACAATGTGCCTGCATTGATTAACAAATACTTCCCGAATTCCGGGCTCCTTTAACTAGAAAACTGTGATAGAAGTTGTTGGCACTCACCAGCGCCAACTGGGGCCAAGTTCGCGCAAGGACTATAGTTGACCAATGGTTAACTAACGTTTGCCCGAACTCTGTCTAGTCGACTGTGGTTGACTACGCTAGTCGACTATTTGGAACCAGCCTACTGGGGTTGGTTGCTTCGCTGGCAACCCATAGCCGCGCGCATTCACAACGCTAGCAGAGAGCCAGGATCCAGAAGTTTTGCGATGACATTTTGACCAGCGTTTGACTAGAGACGTTCGCACTTGGCTCTTAGTGCGCAGGCGTAAGGTACGTCACAAATCAACCACTATAGTCGACTTATGGTCCTTGGCCGAACTTGGCCTGGGCGGTACGGTGTGAAGTGCGCCACCTGTTTGCGAAACCAATTTTTTTTTCAGAATGAACTTCAACTTTTATCAGCAGAGTATTAGTGGTTAAAAGATACATTGTAACTAATACGCGCCCATCCCATCATACTGACTTATATAAGTGTTGTTTGCGAGGATGAGGTTGGGGGAGAATATGGACCGTGGTTGGTTATTCAGAAGGTGTGCATAGTAACCATATCGTTCTCAGGATCAGCATTGCCCCTACCAAGGCAGACCCAACGGTACATGCCGTCACGGAATTCTCGGATACGCCACCAGTAGATGAATGGGTTAATGAGAGAGTTGAGCATCAGTAGGAGGACGGAGAGCTGGTAGAAAACCTTGAGGCTTTGGGGCTGAACGGAATATCTCTTGCGACTGACGTAAAGCATGAAGTTGGCGATGCAGTACGGGATCCAACAAGCGAAGCACGTGACTAAGATAATAGCGAAGGTGATCATCAATCGACGCGTCTGGCTGAGGCGCGCACGGGCCACAGCGTCGTCGGCCCGGACGCCTGTGGTGGATGCGAGCGGTGGAGTGTACCGGGCGATTTGACGGAACACGGCGCAGTAAAATACAGCGGTGATAAGCAGGATGACCAGCGCGATCGACGGTCGCAGCATCCGGGTCACCAGCGGGGTGTGTACCTGAGTGGTGGGGACATAGAGGGCGGCAGAGATGACCCAAATCAGCAGGCAAGCTGCCAGCATGCGACCGCGTGTCACCATGGCATCATAGCGAGCTGGGGGCGTGATGGTCAGAGCTAGGAGTCGATTCACAGCAATCGCTAGGATGCTCAACTCAACGGCACACAGGGACGTGCGCACCAACGACTGCACCACAGGGACCTGGAAATACACTGTGACCTTGTGCAGAAAGATGAAGGTCGGAGCCGCAATGTCGCCGAGCACGAGGTTGAAAGCGAAACCGTAGTACTTGATGCGGAGCTGCTTGGTGGATGCAAATAGCACCACGGCAAGGATGTTACTAACTATGGCTGCGACGCAGACTACCAGCAAAGCAGTGTTGATGGCTTGCAAAGTGTCAACCATGTTGGGGTCTGGTAATCTATAGGCATCCAAAACAAAAAGTAAACGAATGATTGTGAGTATGATTCATAGAATTAGTTTATAGATGAGCAAAAATTACTGATTGGGCATTTTTTTTTCATTCAGAGCGAACGTTAATACTGTGGCGGGGATCTCCCCGGGCCAAACCTAAGTTCGTTGGGATCAAGTCTGACACCTATTAGAGTGTAGCTGATCTTCCCGAACCAAAGCTTTCCCAAGACGACAGACCACTCAAAGCGACCTCAAGGCTGAGGGAGCAGGTCTGTTTTGGAGGGATTATACCGCCGATTACAATGATGATTACTCCCTTAATTGCACAATAAACCAGCAAGAAATACACCTTGACAACAGGATTGTCGGCACAACAAATATGATTGTAATTTATTATACAATAACAAAGAAATATGCACTAATAACTGGGACCTAATTGCGCTGTTCTATTACCAGGGTCACCTAATTATAGTTGGAAGACTACCCACTACTCATATCAGCAGCAACACGGACAGCATCGACAATGCACAATGATGTAAGCAATGCGCTACTAAGTCGGCAACAAGCAACAGTGTAAGCAGTAAACCACAATGTACGTATGCACCAATGTTAACAATACACATCAATGTAAGCAATGCACACCAATGTCTCTCTACAATTCCTTACCGTATAAGGAGATTGACGCGCGCGTCGCGCAGAATGCACCTGGGGCGTTGCGTTGTGAATTTAGAACTATAAAATACTGACTCACTGGTAGTATTGCGCATGCCTACGTGAGTATTATGAACGTTCAACGAATAAAACGGTAAGAGGCACTGGATTTCATGTCCAAATTTCATGTGACATTGGAAAAGTGTTTAAGACCAGCTAGCCATGTCTCAACCTCGTCCCCAGTGCTTACTTTATTTCCAACCACGTTTCCAATAGTAAACCCTGGATAGGAAACTTTCTTGCTGTATCCTAATTGGATACCGCAATTGGCTAGTAATGGATTTTTATCGTGTACTTGGTGCTATATATTCACAACGTGCAGTACGTGTTTTCGCGATCATTCGTCCACGCCCTCTCGAAAATACTAATTTCCTTTCCAATTTGCTCATATTAATATGAAATATGATACTGCATGTTGTCTCGATAAGATCGTAACAGTTTGATTTCAAAAATCGTGTTTTCGTAACTCACGCCGTGCTCGCGCTGCTACGAATTGACTCTGTTTTTACCCCAGACACCGCATACAAAAACAAACGCTAATGTGTAACGCATATCCAGGCACCAGACTGTTTCTCATTTGCATACGTGTGCAAAAATCTTGCACATGCAAATGATCCAATACCAGGGTGAGAGAGCAGGAAGTGGTGGGCGCGTACTGCTCGACACCCTGGGGACGAGGTTGGCCATGTCTTTATCATCCGTTTAAGATCGGCCACGTGACGGGCCCTCGACCAATAGGAATGGGTAAACTGTCTTAGGTAATTATGAATAAACGTTAAAACATTATTGGTTTGAAGTTCCATGCATATTAATAAGCTACTTTATGATGATAGCATACACTTGACGATGGCTGGCCCCACAAGATGCAAGTCAACAGTTTTTGATATATTAAATAATGCAACAGCTATCAGGAGTCAGGTTTGCGTAGCGGTGTACCGGTACTTTCCACGCCCGGGTTCGATTCCTGCCTTTAGGTTCGATTCCTGCCTTTGAGTTGTTAGTCCCTATTTGCTTCCGTGGGTCCTCAGAATATTCTTCTGGGGTTTTCCTCCCAATGTTCCCACATCTAAAACTCTAATTTCTTCACAATGTATTTCTCTTTACTGGGCCTCATGGAAGACCAGTGGATTCCCATGAGTTGGCTACCCAGTTAAAATAACAATTAAAATAAAATAAATAAATAAATATATTTCCATCCGCTGACAAGGATATTGAGACAAAGTGACCAGCGCTTGATTCGCCCCATAACAAGCATACCCCCCCTCAAAACCCCCCAAGAAAAACACATCAAACAAAAACAAAAGCATGGTAAACACTAAAGCTCACACATGATTGTAGTTTGCAGTGACGTCCCACAATGCTACAGCAGTGGCGGATCTAGAGCGGGTTAGGGCTGCAACCTCCGGTTCAGTCACTGACTAATGTCATGATACTCAAATGGGGCCAAAAGTAATACACGCTTTTGGTTCCTAGATACATTCTCCAATTGCCTTAAAATACAGGAAGAGAGCAAAGTAGATTTCAGCCTTTCCCGGGGAAAGTCCTCGGACCCCCATAGCAGGGCTATGATATTTATCCCTTAAAGCAAAACAAAAAAGGGGGACAAGTGTCCGTAAATTGGGCTATAAAGTAGGTGAAGGGTTGCCTAATGTGGGAGACTTCAACGAGTTCAAGGAAATTCCCAAAATTATTGGTAAGAAGACGTTGTGACGTAGACATAATTTGTAAACAACAAATAAATATACCCAAATATGGGAATAAATATATTACACAGCAGGTATTAAAGATTTATGCAAATTAGGCCCCCTTCACAAAAGAATTGTAGGTGTCACCTCTTCTAAACATCTTATCTAGGGCTATACGAATCTATCTGCCAAGTTTGGTGCTTTGGACCGGGGGACGATCTTGTCGAAAATTGGGTCTAAGCTGACTATTAGATTCATTGTAAAGAACCCCACAATATAACACATATCATATAGCGTACAACCTGATCATCGACGTGTACTTGCAAACCTATATGGAGGCATTGGAATTTCTATTCTTACATCAGTGTTTTAAGGCAAATCGCCAAATCGTGGCTACGACGTTTTTAGCGTGCTATTCATGGTGTTAATTTCTACTTACGGTCTTCGTAAAAATGACGGACTTTCTATTAGCAGAACACGCAGCAAAGGATGGTATCTTCGTCTTCGGTGTCGCTGATAATAAATCGACAAACGCTGAGTTTTGATATCAAAAATGTAATCACGGTAGCATAAATAGGTCTAGAATATTTATCATGCACAAAATAATTTATTCTTTAAACAAAATAATGATCAATAATAATAACTTCAAAAATTCAAAGCATAAATTAATTGAAATATTTTAATATATAAATTAATTGATATATTTGTAATATATAATATATTAATGCCCCATCTGGGCATAGGGTACTCTATGTAATAGCCGTATGAAACAAGTACGCTTAAAACAGGCTTGGGGCTTGTTGAGGATAATGTCCCTCGCCTTTGGCTAGGGCTATTGTGAGCGGTGTAAACGTACTTGTTTAAAACTGGCCAACCACAGTTTCATTCCGTCAGTGTATAACATCTTGTTTCTGCGAGTTTCTCTGTCAGAAATTTGTCTGTGCGGTGTACTCATGTCCACGCAGGCCTGCTCATGGTCATAACATGCACATTACGTGCCGTAGGGCCATAGCATAAAATATTTTAAAATACAATGATATTAGAAAATTTATAATGCCTCAGATTTACCTTAAAGGGACACTGCGTCCTGGAACATCCCAATGGGCAACGAATACGCGCTTTGAACGATATGATGTTGATTGGAATTTCGATGGAAAAAAAAAATAAAATTTGGATATAAACATCCACACAACCATATATCCTTTAAAAACAGGGCGTTTTTGTGTGATTCCTGTATTATGCGTGCGAGAACGAATTTCGGGGTCCACTTTTGCGACCCAAAAAAAGTCCAGCGGTTTGGATGCACGGTTCTGTATCACTGGTCTATATTATACTGACTTGATAGTGCTTCGGGCCGTTGGGTTGAAGTGACTTGGCCAAGTAAAAGTATATGCAAAGTCGTGAAATAAAATTTTGTATTTGAACAAATATTAATGTAGTGAGACGTCTTTTACGAGGCACCGTACGATTGGCAAACAGCCCAGAAAAAAATGTATACAAACGCGCACTCAGTGCCGTGAACGCGCGAATATCAACCCTTTTCTGCCTGCGCACCAAAGTGTGCAATTTGGAGGCCTAGTTCACTACACAGCCGTACACTGGCCAGGCGTTCGGGGAACCTGATTAAAATATTAGAACCAAGAATATTAGGAACCTGGATATCTTAGGAACCGGGGCAACTTTAGAAATACAAACTATGTGATTATAATTTATCATTGGCAACGTTATTACAATTTATAGAGCTGGAAGTTGAATCTATAGTTATAAGATTTTTGTAACACTTGTTTTGTGAGTTAGATTGAGATTCAGATCCAGAACTATTGTAATTGATTTTGTAAACAAGTAATCTGTAACAAGTTCATGAGACCAAGCATAATTTGACTCCTCCTGGTGTTTTGATTTTGTCTGTTTGTCTTGGGTTGTTCTTGGCGTCCTTAAATCTAATCAGTTGAGCGGAGACGACCTCCTTAATGGCGTACCGCTACATTAACATGACGTCACTATCCTACACAACATTTGCACCCGTATGTACACCTCATTGACATAAACATCAGATTTAAATTCTTGGGTAGGGGAAATCCCCCCTTTGCTTCCATTTCCAATTAGGGAAGGGTGTCATTGGCATTGGAGTAGCCAGCAGGGGTAAGGGGGAGGGGGTATTTACCCTCCCCAAATATTTTATAAAAACAGCCCTGTTGCATGGAAGTAACCAATTTGTATTAGCGTTTACCCCCTCCCCTCCCCAATAATAGTAAAGAGTGCCCTCTTTGTTAAAAAGAAGGTCCTAAAAATAAAGCGGCCTATTACCAGCGGCCTTTTACGAGTGCCCTTATTGAAATTTCGCACCACCGTTGGCAGTTTTCCACCCTGAAAAGCACCACCTATTGTCTGATAGTGTCTTTTTGATTTTGCGGAGACCAAGTGTCCGCAAAACCGAACTGTTTACCCCTTCATACATATTTGACCTTGGTACGCCTCTGGGTGTCATTGGGCAACACGTTCAGATATTTCACTCTGTCGTTACGCATGTGCAAACATAAAATGACGGCACCATGTGAAGAAAATAGTCCATTTAAAAAGAAAATCACTCTTTGA